TTCGTGTTGTTTTTCTTCTCCTTTTGCTTTGGCTCATTTTCTCAATTCTATATGTTGCGTGTGTGTTTGTGTGCCTGTCTCCCTGTGTGTATGTGTGTGCCTATGTGTCTATGTATGTGACTGTTTGTTTATGAAATTTCTATTGCGCAGTTTGGTTTTTGCGGTGACGCGTCGTCGTTAGCTTGGGGCAGTCGCAGGCGTCGTTTGTGGGGCCGGTTTATCAGGCGCCGGTTAACTACATATTTATTTCAATGAGTTTACATATACATATGTTACATATTAACATGTACATGTGTAGATACATACGAATATGCACGCAAACATATGTTAGTGCCATACCCTTTGAGAAAAGAATTGCGACTTTGTCAGATACTTGGCTGAGATGAATGAGTATATTTGGCTGGCAAAATTACATATGTACATACATATCTCCAAACTCATCCAAAGCGTTTCCAGTTAAAAATGGCTTTAATTTAACAAAAAGTTGTCCATGCCTATTGTCTAGAGCGCTGCCACGCGTTTTTTTGTGCTTAATTTCGCGAAACAGATGCAATCTGGTATTTACATATTTTTCAATATCAGAATAAAGTATATTTAAATAAAATTGTATGGCTCTAACTTATTTAATATTCATAATTCGGGTTTAATATGTTAAAAAGCAGCTTTAACTTAACTTTATAATCGAAAGCTAAGAAATTCTCTGAACCTGTCTAGAAATACTAAAATCGATGGCGATATTTGGCTGCATGCATTTTCGAAATGTCAGTTTATCGTATGTAATTTAAAAGAGTAAACAATTTTCGGTGTGCTTAAAGGCCAAGCAGTTTTTATTTATTGGGTTTTCTAAGATTGTGGATACCGCTGTTTATTTACCACACCACCTGCGCAATTTATTTTACTCGTGTGGCTCGCTTGCAATTTATTTATAATTTTCCAGTCCAACATATATATATATATATATATGTATATGTATGTATGTGTATGTATGTGTATCGATAGTGCTTATCGATTGCGTATCACTGGGCGCACCTACCTACCTAACAAAGTTGGCATTGATGTTACAAGTAGTTGTTATTATTGCTGGGGTTGTTGTTGCTGTTGTTATTTGTTGGGTGGTGCTGTTAGTGTTGATGGTGCAACAACCTGCATGTGGCTCAAGATCGTGAGTGCCGCGGAGAAGGTAAAAATGGCGGCTCAGCGACTGCCGTTGCCATTGCAGTTGCAGTTGCAGTTGCTGCTGTTATCGACCTGCTCCGCCACACCCACAAAACAACAACAACAACAACAGCAACAAAAATAACAGCAACAACAACCAAATGCAGTTACCAGCAGACAGTCGTCGGCCTATGCACAGTTGTTGTTGTTGTTGTTGTTGTTGCAGTTGAGGTTGCTGGTAAGCTTAGCTGTTGCTGTTTTAGTTGTTGCTGTTTTAGTTGTAGTTGTTGTTGTAACTGCGTTTTGCATTCGCCTTGGCTGCGGCTGTTGCTCTTTGGCACTTAACATAGTCGCAACAAAAACACCAACTACTACAACAGAAGCATTCACTTTACTCATACACACACACACACACTTAAGCATCGACGCGACAACGTGGCCCTCAATACCCTGTAAATGACGCGCATACCGGTGTATACCCACAATAATAATAAAAATATAACTGCAGTAAAAGAATATAGAAAGAATAGAAGAGCTTTAATTAAAGATTAACGGGAATACCTTTAATGTAATTTATTATATTCAATCTGAAATGTTTACGATATGACCTGCCCTCTCGTTAGCTATTTCAATTTTATTAATGACAGTTAAAAAAAGTGTAGAAATCGGAAATCTTCATGAAGACTCAGCGAACATTTTTTATTCTAATCAATTGTTAAACACAGTTTTTTCAGTTAAAAGGCAATTAACATTTTTTAAATCGTTTAAAATCTTGACTTTTATACACATATTTATACACACATCTATTTTAAAAAGCTTTTATGATGGAATATATATACATTATGTACGTCACCTTTACTACTACACTATATATGCTTTGCTTTTCTTCGGCTTTGCTATTGCTTCTAAATGGAAAAAAGGGTATAAAGAGTTTGTTAGTTGTATAAATGCTTGGCCCGTCCGCAATGCGAATATATGATAGAATATTTGAGAACTGATCCGAGATTAATGATTATAGAGTATTACACCGTCATCAATGTTTGGCTGCAAAGTTTCTACTTGTCGTTCCTCCTATCTGCCACACTATCGTCCATAAACGCTAACCTCCTCAACAGTCGATCCTCCGCCCCCAAATTGCATTTGCTCTATTCCTATATACATATGTATGTATGTGTCTATAAAAATTGTACATATACAGTAGCGGACAAAAATAAACGGACAGGACCAATTGTCCTGGGCTGAAATATTCATACTTATTTTTATATCTAGTGCCAAGTTAAGTTTATATACATAAAAGTGCACCATATCTATTTTAATAATAATAATAATATCATATGCCTTAATTATAGTTTGTCGTAAAGAGTGCAAAAGAGGTTGTCCGAACTTTTTGTCCGGCACTGTATTTTGTACAAATAAAGCTTTGAAGTTGATGTAGGTTAAAATTTGATACTGGCCTGGTCGGCATTTCAGATAAACTCAGTGACTTGAGCTGCACGCAGCGAAACTAGTTTCGAGTTGCAGTTCTGCTTCCCTTAGCAGCCCCCCTCCCCCTCCCACACTAACACACACACAACAAACAAACACTAGCTAGTTGTCGCACAGCTGTTCTGTCGCGCTGCAGTTTTTCGTTCAGTGAGGAGAGAAAAAGGGTCAACGGTTGAATGAACTCTGCCGCAAATTCGACTAAAGCGTCAAGATTTCTTTTTTGGCTTTTCGTATTTTGTTTTTTTTTTTCCTTTTATCTCGCTTGCCAAATTCGCAAATTGTATTTTCGTAATGTTGTTCTGGTATTTTTTTCTAATTGTTTTTGACATTGCATAATGCGTGTGTTTTGCTTTTATGGCATTGCACTCATGTGTGAATGTACATAAAATCGTATAAAATATTTTAATATACTATGTATAATAGATTTAATAGGTTTATTTTTCTATGAAATATATTCTGTAACCTAAAATGAAAATGGTTTAAACTGGTCTAATGGGTTTGTTGAAATATATGTAACAGGCAGAAGAAGACAACTCCGTACCCATAAAATATACATATATTTATGTATATTCTTGGTCAGCATTAATAGCCAAGTCTATTCAGCCATGGCCGATTGTCAGTCTGACCGTTCATCTGTATAAACGCTTCGATTAAGTTTGCTTTAAAATTATCGATAGCTTATTTCAAACTCGATTAATAAATCCATTTTACAATAAAAGATATAAATTTGGTGTGCTATATCATATATGTGTACATATGTATGTATGTACGTATGCCAAAGGCCAACTGTCAGTTTGATATGAAAATAATTTGTTTTTTTTAGTTGAGCTGTATTACAATTGCACAAACAGATCTTTCTTGTTTTTTTTGGCTTGTTTTTATTTATTAGTTACATATGTATGTATTTATGTTTCTTCTGTTTCCCTTTTGCAGTGGACGCAAACGTTTTGTATCTGAGGGCGACGGCGGCCACGTTAAGCCGGCCACTTTGCCAATGCGCGACTAAGGAGCGAGGATTGATTGATTTCGCAGCAGCAGCAACAACAACAAAAAGCAAATGAAAACAAAACAAAAAAAAAAATTACAATAACAATATCACAAAATCTACAACAAGACCGATAAGCGCGAGCAACAACCGTACACACATGAAAAATTAGGAGAGAGAACAAATGGAAGCAAAAGAAGCAGAAAAAAGCAAAAGTTGTTTCTTTTGTTGTTGTTGCACATGGACGAACATTGAAAGGACATGAATAAGAAAAAAAAAAGAAAGAAGAAAACTACAAAGAAATAACAACAATCAATCGGAAATTGATCTCCGTTTAAACTATATGAGTAATATATACATATAAATACTTACACATATATATCTTCATATAAACATAAAATTATTTTAAAATATTTGTAAAGAAAAACAAAACAAAGCAAAGTAGCGGCAAAGGCAACAAAAAGAAAATGAAAACAACGACAACAACGGAAACAGCAAAAGCAATACACACACTTACACATACAAATCCATAGACAGACAGACAAATACTTACAACAAGTGAGCAAGAGAGAAGGAGGTATAGAGAAAGAGAGAGCGCAAAAAATGCTGATGAGAGCGAATTTCGTCGCAGGCGCAGCTGCAGCAGTAACTGCATCTGCAAACATATTTACTTATACGGAACTGTTATACACACTCACACATCCACACACAGACACCGTTATTATAACTAGACATATGTATAACACGCAACTACAATTTATTATGATATACAACTAAGTTTAAGAGATCTATACAAACCATAAAAAAACTAAAAAAAAAATGGAAGTTACAGAAGATTATATTACAATTATTGTGTTATTTTTAAGGTTTTCATGCAAAACGAGAAAGAAAAAAAAAACAAACTGCGTAATTATAACCTTAAAAAACACCAATTTAAATTCCATATTCGTTAAAAATGGTTTAACTTTGTATCAAAAATTAGCAGTTCGTTTATATTTGGTCGCCATTTATTATTGTATTTTTCACACACACACACACATAAACACAAAACTAATACGATTGCAGCAATAATAAAACTTGCAACACCAGTTTCTTACTTTTAAGTATAAAAACCATTAAACATGTCTTGTTGTGAGAAGACGCAACCTTAAAAATTATATTATCATTAAAAATATACGAACTACATACATTTTTTTTCGCTCGCATACTTTTGAATAAATACATATATTTTATGCACATTTTTATAAAACAAGCTTCCATTGTTTTTCCTACGTTTTTTCAATTTTTGTATTTGTATAACAGTTTGAAAGTAATTGAAATCATTTTCGTACAGTTTTTCTTTGTAAAGATGTTTTTTGCTTAATTTTGCTTTGCCTATCGAGAATCCGATATTCCGAATTTTTAAAATTTTTTTTTTTTTTACATTTTAAGCGCATTGGACGCAACTGTACTTTGCAGAAATATTCGTGCGAGAGTAACTTGCATATACGCATAATTTAAGATATTACCATACATATACACATACACATATATATATTATATACAACTATTGTGTTAAAAATACATACAAAATAATAATAAAAAAAGGAACAAAAAATTATTAAAATTTGCGTTGAGTTTTTGCTTATTCAAAAAGAGGCTGGAGTTCCTGCTTGTTGCTAGGTGGCATCTGGCGGCTCCAGCTTCACCTCGCATCAAGAGCGCCCCATGCCAACCGTAGAGGGCATCATCACAGAACCGATAGACCCAGCCGCACTACTCAGTGCGCCGTGCAGCTGGACATGCTTGCGATAGTTGGTAAAGTGCTCCAGATACTGTTTAACCGTGTCCATCGGCTCGTAGGTGTCATTCTGCTTGGCGTGCAGCTGCTGCTGGCCCATTGCATTCATAATCGTCTGTGTGGTGAAATAGGTGGGATACTCTTTGGCCACACTGATGCCGAGGAAGCCCTGCAGCATTTCGCGTATCATATCCCAGCAATAGGAAAGCGTTATGCAAGGCCTATAATCGATCTCAATGAGTATGCCTTTAAAGTGCTCCATCATGGTAACGGAGCCGAGCTTAATCACAAAATCGCCATACTCAAAGCGAGCGCCGCGCGACTCAATCTTCGTTTGTTTCTTGGACGTAAATGTGGAGGTCATTTTTAGCATTAGCAAATCAAAAATGCTGTCAGCCACAAGGGCCACTTGTTTGCCAGTGCCATTGTCAATTATGGAGAATGTTGAAGCTGGATACTCGGAGTTGTGCAGCACATGGACGGCTCGGGTCGGTGTTCCGTGCTGCGGCGTTGAGATAAAAGTTTCGCAGTCCACCAAAAACTGGCCGGCGTGTGTGGCGCCCAGTGAGAGCAGGCGCTTGCCCAGGTGATCCATAATGTGGGAACCAGATTTGCCCTCAGGCAGTGGATATGGTTGTAGCACAGTCACGCCCATACTATATGTATTACAGTTTTTTTTTTTTTTTTGTTTGTTTTATTATTTATAAGCAAGCAAATTTGCACCAAGTTGAGGGATTGGTATGACCGCAAATTGTATGCGTCTAAAATCACAAATATGAAAAATACCAAAAACAACATATCGCAGCCAAATGTTGGTAAAACGGTCTTTCACAAATTGCTTGCGTTGAGACTGACTGGCAACGCCGACATTTGTAATTGCATGTTTATGTTGATAGTTAAGGAAATGTTTCATACAATATGTTGAAATATTAAATAGTTTAACTGTCATTATTTATCCCAAGTTTCTATAAAATCTGATAATTGCTGTTAATTATAAAAAAGAATATAAACAAACGCATTGAAAATGTAGTAGATTAAAAATACTACATTTCGCTTTTTAAATTGGGGTGTAAGTCGATTTTTATAATTGCAGCGCCCTTTAAATATTGACACGACCACGCTATCGAAAACGAAAGACGTCATTAGCGATATATCGATACATTCATAACAATTCATATCACATAGCTGTTGTTTGTGGGTGGCGCTGGCTGTGTCCTTCACAATTATGGCGGATAAACGCAAATACAAGAGATCGGTAAATGAAACATAACAAAAAATGATTAGCCATAATGTAAGTGCGCATAACACAAGTCTTTTTCTGTATGTAGAAAGAGGAAATCGCCCGCGAATTCGATCTGCCCGAGCGCAAATCCAAAATAGCAACAATACTCAAGCAAGATGATCAGGCCTACTGCATATGTCGCACATCCGACTGCTCCAGATTCATGATGTAAGTTGAATAATATAGCCAGTTGTCAATCAATTGCGACTAATTAAACACTTTTTCAGTGGCTGCGATGGCTGCGAGGAATGGTATCATGGCGACTGCATTGGCATCACCGAAAAGGAGGCCAAGCACATTAAACAATATTATTGCCGCAGATGCAAGAAGGAGAATCCGGAACTGCAGACCATATTCCGTCTTGTGGCCACCGAGCGTGCGGCCGCAACGGCAGCTGCATCAACAGGTGGCGCCCACAGCGGATATGGCGCCACAAATGCGTCTGGCTCACATTCTGGACAAGCAGCTGCTGGCACGGCGGCGGGCACCAGTGGGGGTGCAGGCGGAACTGGTCGCAAAAACAATAGCGTGGCCAAAGAAACGAAGGCAGGCAGACGGTGCGGCACATGCGAAGGTTGCCGGCGACCCAACTGCAACCAATGCGACGCCTGTCGCACACGGGTTGGCCACAAGCCGCGCTGCATCTATCGCAACTGTGTAATGCAGGCTGCTCATCCGGCTCATCCAGTAGCGACGACAGGTCGCAAGCGCGAAAAGGGCAACGTTATCCAGCAGCAGCGCAAAAGCAAAGTTGTGCGCTCCGACAGTCCGGAGATATTTGTGCATCCAGAGCTAGAGGGTTTGCGACAGTGTCATGGACCGAGCTGCTGTTGTCAGGCCCGACCGCAAAGTAAATACTGCAGCGACAAGTGCGGCTTCAATCTCGCTACGAATCGTATATTCCAGGTGCTGCCGCAGCGTCTGCAGGAATGGAACTTGACGCCCTGCCATGCAGCCGAGGAGAATCGCGAACAGCTGGAAGTCATCAGACAAAAGCAGTCTATGGTGCGTTTTGCACTCGCCGAGCTGGAAAAGCGCGCCGAGGAGCTCAACATGGTGGTGGACCGTGCAAAACGCAGTTCCATAGACACACAACGGCCGCAGGACAACGGCGATGTGGAGGACGAGCAGAGCATGTACTGCATTACATGCGGCCATGAGATACACTCACGCACCGCCATCAAGCACATGGAAAAGTGCTTCAACAAATACGAATCGCAGGCCAGCTTTGGCAGCATCTTTCAGACCCGCATGGAGGGCAATAACATGTTCTGTGACTTTTATAATCCGGCCAGCAAAACGTATTGCAAGCGCTTGCGCGTCCTCTGTCCGGAGCACAGCAAGGATCCTAAGGTTAGCGACACGGATGTGTGCGGTGCGCCGCTTGTGCACAATGTTTTCAATCCCACCGGTGAATTTTGTCGTGCACCCAAAAAGAATTGCTTCAAGCACTATGCCTGGGAGAAGATACGCAGAGCCGAAATTGATCTGGAGCGAGTGCGTCAATGGCTCAAAATGGACGACCTGATGGAACAGGAACGCCAGTTGCGGCAGCAGCTCAGCTCGCGTGCCAATTTGCTTGGCCTGATGCTGCACTCCACTTACAATCACGAGGTAATGGACGAGCTGGTGCGCAAGCAGCAGGAACATTTCGCTGAGCTCGAGAAGCAGAAGCGGCGACAGGCGCACTATCAGCAGGTGCAGCAGCAGCAACAGCATTTCCAGCAGCTGCATCAGCAGAAACAGCAGCAGCAACAGCAGCAGCAGCAGCAGCAACAGCAGCAGCAACAACAATTGCAACAATTACAGCAGCAACAGCAATTGCAGCAGCAAAACTTAGAATTACAACAGCAAAGCTTGCAACTTCAACAGCAGCAGCAACAACAACAACAGCAAGAACAACAACAGCAACAACTTCAACAGCAGCAGCAGCAGCAACAACAACAGCTTCAGCTGCTCTACCAGCAGCAGAAGAAGCAGCAGCAATGACAAAAGAAGAAACCACAAACAACAAAAAAAAAAAAAAGAAACAAAACACAAAAAAGTTATCAACTAATTGATAAACGCTGCATAGTTTTTTACATTAGTGCATGCTTATATTATGTTTTTAACGAGCTAAGATATCCCTTTGTATGTCTCTTCTCTCCCCCCGGCCCCAGCCTATACCATTAAGCACACACAATAATAAAATTGACATGCACACAATATGTAAAATACACCGCAACCGATCACCATGGATATGAATATATATGATATTAACAATAAGTTGTGTGTATTACCGTTACCATCAGCAACCCGATCAACAGAATTTACTCACCGGCTGTTCTTATTCGCTTGCTTTCCCTCTCCCTCTCTCTCTCTCTCTTACTCGCTCTATGTTGTGTGCGGGAAGTCCTGGTGGCGGCAAATCGGCTCCCCCTGCTCCTGTTTGTTATTGAAAACTAAGCATCACAAATATTTATTGATAGCAACCTGTCGGTTGCGACTAACACTGGGCCAACCAGTCCAAGTGCATATCATTCACATTGTCAGTCTGAAAATTAAACGCCTGCACTTATTTCGCTCGTCGATTTTTCTTTCTCGTTCTAATCTGTCGTCCTGCTTTGAGAGTGAGCAACAGCAGCATACTATCTTAAATCCAATAGTTATATTTAAATGATCCATCATAGTGTGGCCATATACATATATGTATGTAGAATTCAGTATTAGGTTTAAGCAAAACTCACAGTTCAAAAATGCCATATTTATATGTAAGACATATGTAAGTTTAATTTAGTTTAAGTTTTTTCCTCTGCTCCATTTACTAATCAAATAAATAATCTGTGTAAATTGCATTGAATTTGTTTAAAATGCAGCTCACGCAAGCCAGATCCGCGTGTCAATGTGCCGAACATGTGAATGATGCGTCCTGAGGGACAACGGTACTCAGCCATAACCATAACCACCAAACCGATAACAGAAACAAGCACATACATGCATACATACATACATACATACATACATATGTTAGATATGTACATATATATTTATATAGTAGGCTTTGGCGGAATCGCGCCAAAGACAGTGTGAAAAACATAGTAGTCAGGGCGTTAGTCGTGTTGACCTTTAGAAATGTCGGAGACATTTGGCATCCATATTTTGTATACCTTCTACACAACTCGACAATAAAAAACACACAATTTTGTATTCAACTTTTGATCTTATTTTTCCAAAAATCACAACGCGAGTTATCCGAGACGGTATCCCTTATATATATGTATGCACAATTATTGCATATATATGTATATATATATATATATGTGTATATATATGTGTGTGTGTGTGTGTATGTATATATATATATGTTCAAGTGCAGTACTCAAATTGAACAGCGTGATTCGAAAGTTTTGCGGGTCCGCAAGTGGAAAACGTTCAAATTATAAAGTCGCAGCAGTTAAACAATTACCTTCAATTCGGTTGAGAAGCGCGACATCCGTATTTTAACTGATGGCTGTCACCGAATAACGGATCTAATAGCGAATACTGGAACTGATCTATCAATCAATCCAATCCAATCAATCAATCAATCAATCAATCAATCAATCAATCTATCTATCAATCAACCAACCAATTAATCACTGCAAGTCTGTGCCGTCGCTTGCTTTTCGTTCCTTTTGCTGTTGCGTTGTTCAAAATCGTGAACTTCTAAGAGGTTCGTTCTCTGACCGTTATCCGACAATCGAGACCACATCCCAAAACCGTACAAATATCTTTCACAGTTACATTTGGATTCGTGTTTGGTCTTAATTATTTTATCTGGTTTTTTTTCGTGTTTATCTTCTTTTTTTTTTTAATGGTGCATCGTGTGCAAATTGTAAGTTGATGCTGTCAATACTCTAGCGGCTGCTTGTACCTCGATTGTCCCACATTCGGCCTCGTCCAGGTGCACCCCACCCAGGTGCCACGAAGCTGCAGCAGTCGCCCATCCTTCAGTCGGCAGGTAAGTGACATGCATTTTGCCACTTGATTTTCAAAAGTAGCCCTGCCAAATTCTGTTTAGCCCATTCCCTATACTACACTGGGCTGCATAAAATTGCTTTTCGAATAGTTTTTGCTGCGTTTCATGCAATACACGATTGTAAAGACTGTAGACCTTAACGATTCGCACCCAGAATTATATTAAACATTTAATATTAAACTATGAATCGCAACCCAAATATCATCTCAAACCAAACCTGAATTTGGCTTAGTTCAAAAATGATCCCAAAATAATATACATCTTGGGCTGCAATTTTTATATGAATTTCTATTCTTTGGTTGGGTTGAGCACAAGTCTTATTTCATATTTAACTAAGTAGACTACGAAAGCTCATACCCTATAAATATGTACTTTATTAGATGTTGCTTACTTTAACGTATATTTCATTGTTTTTTTTTTAAGCTTTTTAAAAGTGCTTTTCCAGTTTTGTCAATATTTGCAGCAAGTCTTAAAGTTTTAACTGCTCTTAATAGAAACTATTAAATTAAATTTTTGAAAAACCATTAAAAATGTTGGCTCCAAAATTGTACTAAGCTTTAACCAGATTCTATTTCTGAATATTTAGTACTGAATATTTAGTAAAATTTAATGTAGGGTATTGAAGACTTGTGAATGAACTGTACTTTTTTACTACCTGTAAAAATATCCAAAAATAGCTAGATTAGCTAACTGAGCACTTCTCATTGCAAAGCCAAAAAGTAGCAGTAAAAAATCAGCCGACTTAGCTGGAAAATAGCTAAATTGGCAGCTCTTGGTTGGCTACTAATATTGATATGCATGCAAGGGAAAGTGATTTGCAAATGGTTCTCTTTGAACTGTTGACTTGAGCTTGAGGCTACTTTGCTTGGCTGGGCAGTGTATTCTTAACGTACACACATTTAAATGGGCTTAAATGGACTTCTTTGTGCATACTTATTGTTAAACAAATTCATTTTTGCTCTACTCCCGCCGATTGCATGCTCGAGTCGATGGCGTTTGAGGCGTTGTTTGACTGTTTTCTGCGGGGCTGCCACTTGCAATGACAACCACGACAACAACAACAACAACAGCAACAGCAACAACACCTGACGTTGCCCTGGGCACTTGACTGGGTCCTGGTTCCATTTGTCCATTTGTTGGCATTGCTAGGCCAAATGGTTTGCCCCTGCGTCTTCAGTTGTTGCCGTTGTCGTCGCCCACTTTCGCTTTTCGATCGATCTAACAATAATTCGCTTTCAATCAAAATGCTCCATGATTATTTGTTATACCCTGAACCCATTGAAAATGGGTAAAAAGGGTATTATGTATTTGTGCAAATGTATGTAACAGGCAGAAGGAAGCATCTCCGACCCCATAAAGTGACATTCTTGATCAGCATCAACAGCCGAGTCGATCTAGCCATGTCCGTCCGTCTGTCCGTCCGTCCGGCCTTCTGTCTGTCTGTCCGTCCGTCCGTATGTATGAACGCAAGGATCTCAGAACTTATAAGAGCTAGAGACTTGAAATGTTTGCTGTAGGTCCTCCTAGTGCCCGCGCAGATCGAGTTTGTTTCCGATATTCGATAACTTTCCCCGTTTCCAAGTAATCGATAAAAATCGATATCGAAATCCGGTTTTTTGAGCAATTTCCGTAAATAAAAGAGCTAGAGTCACCAAACTTGACATGTAGCTTCTAGAATATTATATATATATCAAGTATCTTTCATTTTATACCTATCGCCACCTCCCCGCTACCACCGCAAAGAAAACGAGCGTTATGTTGGAAGAAGAGGGTTCAGGGTATCCCCTAGTCGGGAGCTCCCGACTAGAACCTCTTGTTGTTGTTGTTGTTGTTGCTTTTTAACATACTTGAGAGGCCGTTTGCATATGGAGACGAGTCTGAGAATGCGAACGGCGACATTCACACGCGATGCTCCAAAACGGAGTTGCTATTTGGGAGCGATTTAAGGCGACAACAGCAACAACTTGCAACAGCAACAACTTGCAACAGCATGCACCTTAGTACAACCCCTCACCCCCCTGCAGGCGCCATTAAGAGTGTTGGAGGGCTTGCCACAAACTGGCGCCCGCCCAGGACGAAGCCAACCGACGCCAAGTCGTGCGAAAAGTTGGTGGATTTGCTGACAATATCATTGCCATTCCAGAGCTGGAGGTGGAAAAGCGGAAATTTCGTCGTCGGCATCGAAAACTGCAACAGCAGCAGCAGCAGCAAGCGCAGCAGCAGCAGCAAACGGAGAGGCAGCGGGAGGCGCATCAACATCAGGCTGCTCATATGAGGGTCCGGAAGAGCGAGCCACTTCATCATAGGCCCTTGATCAAGGAAAAGCACAAGGAAAGGAACAAGGACAAAGACAAAGACAAAGACAAGGAGAAGCTAATGGCCGAACGACAATCGAATGCTCAGGAGCGACGCATTCATGAGCTGGACCAGAATGTCGAGCGTTACTTCGAAGTGCGCAAGGTAGGCAAATTGTTGTCGTTATCGTTATCGTGATTGATATCGTTATCAATATCAATATCGTTATCGTAATCGTTATCAATATCGTCAACGTTATTAATATCGTTATCGTCATCGTTATCAATATCGTTATCGTTATCGTTATCAATATCGTTATCGTTATCGTTATCAATATCGTTATCGTTATCAATATCGCTATCGTTATCAATATCGTTATCGTTATCAATATCTTGATCGATATCGTTATCAATATCGTTATCGTTATCGCTATCGATATCAATTTCGTTATCGATATCGTTATCGCTATCAATATCGTTATCAATATCGTTATCAATATCGTTATCGTTATCGTTATCAATATCGTTATCCATATCGTTATCAATATCCTTATCTTTATCGTTATTGTATAGCGCCTGGGCAAGGGCGCCTACGGCATCGTGTGGAAGGCCACCGACAAGCGGCAAAAGGACACCGTGGCCCTCAAGAAGATCTACGACGCCTTCCGGGATGAGACCGATGCCCAGCGCACATATCGCGAGGTTGTCTTCCTGCGCGCCTTTCGCCACCATCCCAATATTATA